GACCGGCGGGGAGCTGCACAGCGCTAAACTACAATCCGGTATGAGAGCGGGAGCGGGTGTGCCCGGCCCGGTTCGGTTGTGGGGCGGGGGTGAGGGGGGACACACACCCCCGGTGTGGCCCCGGGCGGAGCGGTGACGGCCGGTGTCTCCCGTAGGGAAGGAGAAGGAGCCGCTGGAGAAGCTGTACCGGGTGGGCCCGTTGCTGGGGAGCGGCGGCTTCGGCACGGTGTACTCGGGTATCCGCCTCGCCGACAGCATCCCGGTGAGTGGTGGGGCCGGTGGCGGGGCGGGGTTGAGCTGGGGGGCACCAGAGCATGAGGGGCTGCCAGGCACCAGTGGGACTGAGCTGGGGGGCACTGGAGCATCCCTTGGGTGGGGGGAAGCCCAGGCACCAGTGAGACCGAGCTGGGGACACTGGAGCATCCCCTGGGTGAGGGGGGTGCCCAGGCACTGGTGGGGCTGAGCTGGGGGCTTGCAGGTGGCCGTCAAGTACGTGGCCCGGGAGCGCATCTCCGAGTGGGGCGAGCTGGTGAGTGAGCGGGGCTACCGGGAGAAACCGCGGGGAGGGGGGATAAACCGAGACCGGGGAGGGTGGAAACGGGGACACGGCGCGGGGGGAGAGAGCGGGCGTGGGGTCACCGGGGGACGCAGAGCATCCCCTGGGTGAGGGGGTGCCCGGTAGCGGTGGGGCTGAGCTGGGGGGCACCGGAGCATCCCCTGGGTGGGGGGAAGCCCAAGCACCGGTGGGACCGAGCTGGGGGGCACCAGAACATCCCCTGGGTGAGGGGGTGCCCAGTACCGGTGGGGCTGAGCTGGGGGACACCGGAGCATCCCCTGCCTGGGGGGGTTGCCCAGACACCAGTGGGGTTGAGCTGGGGGGCACCAGAGCATGAGGGGCTGCCAGGCACCAGTGGGACTGAGCTGGGGGGCACTGGAGCATCCCTTGGGTGGGAGGAAGCCCAGGCACCAGTGGGACCAAGCTGGGGACACCGGAGCATCCCCTGGGTGAGGGGGGTACCCCGGCACTGGTAGGGCTGAGCTGGGGAGCACCAGTACTGGTGGGGCTGAGCTGGGAGGCACCAGAGCATCCCCTGGGTGGGGGGGTGCCCAGGTACCAGTGAGGTTGAGCTGGGGGACACCAGAGCATCAGGGGCTGCCCAGGCACAAGGGGATGAGCTGGGGGGCACCAGAGCATCCCCTGGGTGGGGTGATGCCCAGGCACCGGTGGGGCTGAGCTGGGAGGCACTGGAGCATCCCAAGTGGGGTGTACTGGACCCAAATCACAGCATCAGCCCCGCTGATGGCATGGTGGTGTTGTCCCCCCCCAACAGCCCAGCGGCACCCGTGTGCCGATGGAGATCGTGCTGCTGAACAAGGTGGGCTCCGGCTTCCGCGGCGTCATCCACCTCCTGGACTGGTTTGAGCTGCCCGACAGCTTCGTGTTGGTTCTGGAGCGTCCGGAGCCTTCTCAGGATCTTTTTGACTTCATCACGGAGCGGGGGTCCCTGTCGGAGGAGCTGGCGCGGGGGCTTTTCCGCCAGGTGCTGGAGGCCGTGCGGCACTGCAACAACTGCGGCGTCCTGCACCGCGACATCAAGGACGAGAACATCCTCATCGACCTCTCCACCGGCGAGCTCAAGCTCATCGACTTCGGTTCCGGCACCTTCCTCAAGGACACCGTCTACACCGCCTTTGACGGTGAGCCCACCCCCCCGGGGGGAGATGATGCTCCCGGTACCGGGCACCGGCAATTCCCCCCCCCCATTTGCTGGCTGGGAAGGAGGAGGAGGAAGGGTGGTGTGTGTGTGTGTGTGTATGTGTCTATGTGTGGAATTAATGATTCCACCGGCTGCCAAGTTTGCTTTTTTGGCACGGGGTGGATGTTGTGAAACGGGAGCCGGCTCCCGGCGGTGCCAACAGCCTCCGCCACCCACCCTGCCCCAGGCTGGGGGGGGGAGAGCCAGCCCCAGGAGCATCCCCTGGGTGGGGGGAAGCCCAAGCACCGGTGGGACCGAGCTGGGGGGCACCAGAACATCCCCTGGGTGAGGGGGTGCCCAGTACCGGGGGGTTGCCCAGGCACTAGTGAGGTTGAGCTGGGGGGCACCAGAGCATCGGGGGCTGCCCAGGCACTGGTGGGGCTGAGCTGGGGGGCACTGGAGCATCCCTTGGGTGGGAGGAAGCCCAGGCACCAGTGGGACCAAGCTGGGGACACCGGAGCATCCCCTGGGTGAGGGGGGTACCCCGGCACTGGTAGGGCTGAGCTGGGGAGCACCAGTACTGGTGGGGCTGAGCTGGGAGGCACCAGAGCATCCCCTGGGTGGGGGGGTGCCCAGGTACCAGTGAGGTTGAGCTGGGGGACACCAGAGCATCAGGGGCTGCCCAGGCACAAGGGGATGAGCTGGGGGGCACCAGAGCATCCCCTGGGTGGGGTGATGCCCAGGCACCGGTGGGGCTGAGCTGGGAGGCACTGGAGCATCCCAAGTGGGGTGTACTGGACCCAAATCACAGCATCAGCCCCGCTGATGGCATGGTGGTGTTGTCCCCCCCCAACAGCCCAGCGGCACCCGTGTGCCGATGGAGATCGTGCTGCTGAACAAGGTGGGCTCCGGCTTCCGCGGCGTCATCCACCTCCTGGACTGGTTTGAGCTGCCCGACAGCTTCGTGTTGGTTCTGGAGCGTCCGGAGCCTTCTCAGGATCTTTTTGACTTCATCACGGAGCGGGGGTCCCTGTCGGAGGAGCTGGCGCGGGGGCTTTTCCGCCAGGTGCTGGAGGCCGTGCGGCACTGCAACAACTGCGGCGTCCTGCACCGCGACATCAAGGACGAGAACATCCTCATCGACCTCTCCACCGGCGAGCTCAAGCTCATCGACTTCGGTTCCGGCACCTTCCTCAAGGACACCGTCTACACCGCCTTTGACGGTGAGCCCACCCCCCCGGGGGGAGATGATGCTCCCGGTACCGGGCACCGGCAATTCCCCCCCCCCATTTGCTGGCTGGGAAGGAGGAGGAGGAAGGGTGGTGTGGGTGTGTGTGTGTGTGTGTGTGTATGTGTCCCATTGTGGAATTAATGATTCCACCGGCTGCCAAGTTTGCTTTTTTGGCACGGGGTGGATGTTGTGAAACGGGAGCCGGCTCCCGGCGGTGCCAACAGCCTCCGCCACCCACCCTGCCCCAGGCTGGGGGGGGGAGAGCCAGCCCCACACAAACAAACACCCGTGGGGGGAGCAGAAGTGGGGGGGTGTGTTGTGTGTTGTGTTCCCAAGCCCATGCGCCGGCCGGTTGGGTTTGCAGGCGCCAAAGGGCTTCTCCGTTCCCCTTGTTTGCCTTGGCTTATTTGTATTTATTTATTTTTTTTGGCCAAGGCTGGTGTGTGTGTGTGTGCGGGGGGGGGGAAAGGCGTGGTTTTTCCCCACCCATGGGGGTTTTTTTATATTTATTTTTTTGCATGTAACGGTCGGGCCTTCCCCAGGCCCGTGCTGCCCTCTTCCGGCACCGCCGGCTTCGTTTTACAACCCAAAGTTTGTAAACAAGAGTCACGTGCTGGCGAGGGGGTGGCGGGTCACAGCGTGTCATCCTGTCCCCCCCCCGCCGCGTCATCGGCGCAGCCCGCGCATCCCCAGGGATGCTGGGGCGAGGATGCGGGATGCAGAATGCAGGGAGCATCTGCCTGACGAGCTTGTGCCTGTATCCTACAGGAACGCGGGTGTACAGCCCGCCGGAGTGGGTGCGCTACCACCGCTACCACGGCCGCCCGGCCACCATCTGGTCCCTGGGTGTCCTGCTCTACAACATGGTCTGCGGGGACGTCCCCTTCGAGCAGGATGAGGACATCATCCGGGGTCAGGTCTTCTTCCGACGGCGAGTTTCTCGAGGTGGGTACCCAGCTTTGCAGCGGGGGACGGGGAATGGGTGTTGGGAGATGGCACTGGGCGTGTGAGCATCCCACTCTTAGGGCTGTGGAGGAGGTTGACCTCCCATGGTTGGAGGAGGTGGGACATGAGGGAGTTGATCTCCCATGGTCGGAGGAGGTGGGACACGAGGGGGTTGATCTCCCATGGTTGGAGGAGGTGGGACCCCATGGTTGGAGGAGGTGGGACACGAGGGGGTTGATCTCCCATGGTTGGAAGAGGTGGGACCCCATGGTTGGAGGAGGTGGGACACAAGGGGGTTGATCGCCCATGGTTGGAGGAGGTGGGACACTGGAGTTGATTTCCAGTGGTTAGCTGGAGGAGGTGGGACATGTCCTGCCGCCTTGCTCTTCTCCAAACCGGATAATCGATTGGGAGGTTTGGATGCAGCTCTGAGCACACCCAGCGCGGCCTGGGCACTGTGGATGGTGGGACATGGTGGACTGGAGCCTTCTTCTACTGACTGGAAGTTTCTGACTTCTCTCCTCAGAGTGCCAGGATCTCATCGGGTGGTGTTTGTCCATGCGCCCCTCGGACAGACCGTCTTTGGAGGACGTTTTTAACCATCCTTGGCTGCAAGGCATTCACCTGCCCCAGGAGACGGCAGAGATCCACCTGCACAGTTTGATCCAGGAGCCTGGCAAGTAACGGCTCCACATATCTCCTGCCCAGAAGAAGCAAAGAAAACCAGGCAACTTCCTCGTGACCTTAGCACTGAGCAGGGATCATCAGATGGGAACGTGCACATCTTGTCCTGGAGACCTGCTCTTCCAAGCGCTGATGGCCACATCTTATCCTGGAGCTCTGCTGGAGAATTCCAAGTGCTGGTGGCCACATCTTGACCTGGAGCTCTACTGGAGACCTGCTCTTCCAAGCGCTGGTGGTCACCACCCAACCCAGCTCTCCTGGGCTCCATCCGAGTGACCCTGTGTCATTTGATGTTTTGCCAGTAAATTGTTTTTTGGGGGTTGGTTCTGGTTTTGGAGGCTTCCAAGTGTCTTCCCAACCTGCTGAACTTGGGACCACCAGAGGATCTGAGACCTTATTGCGAGAAAAGCTTCAATGGGGGGGAAAACTGACTTGGGGGGAGGGCAGGTACCGCGGCCGAACGGCTGTCTCTTCTCCGCTGTCACCGTGCTCGAGTGCCTTCAGTTGCGAACTGGGCTGTGCTGGAGAAAAGACTTGAATTTTTCCTACACTGCTGCTTTTTTCCAAGACTCGCCTGGCTGTAGGGTTCCTTTTTCCCTTTTCAAAGAGAAAACGGGTCAGAAGATGCTTGGGAGCCAAGCGGGCGATGCCTCGCCTCCCGTGCCTCCAGCTCGCCTGGATTTTTCTGGGCTTCTTTGCTTCCCTGTGCCCTCACAAATGCACAAACAATGCAATCCAACAGAGCTGTAAATTGTGTACAAAGTTCTTTTAGGAGCAAAGCTTGAAGTACAGTTGTTCGTAGGGATAACATTTTACCTTGTTTCTTTTTTTTTATTATTATTTTTCCCCCAGGTTTTCATTTTTAATTTATTTTCATGGATTTGTTTTGGTTTGTCTTTTTTTTTTTTTTAAAAGGAAGAGTTCTAGCCGGTAGGATAACTTATTTATTTATTTATAACTCAACGTGGGTTTCCGACCCACGTCTTGCTTCTACGGCTGCTGATCCCCCCCCAGACCCCCTTTCCCAGGTTTTCCATCCGGCTTTTCCCTCCGTGTCTGTCCTGTGTCCGTCCCCGGGCCCGTGGTGTTTCTTGGGGAGGTGTGGAGCAGCTGCCCGCTCCCCATGTACATAGTTCTGGGTGCTGTTCTTTCCTTCCCACCTGCAGATCTCCGTTTGCAGATGAAATTTGGGGTGTTTTTTTTTTCCCCCACGGGTGTCTTGGCTGGGGCTGGGGAGGGGGGGAGCCAGCCCAAGCTGTCTGCGCTGTCGAGTCTTTCCATGTAACCAAGTGTGTAGCCGGCGGGTTGTTTGTTTTTTTTGTTGTTTTTGTTTTGTTAAAGAGTTCATATTGTACAGGGGAATTCAGAATCTTATTTTTTTTATGCGGTTTTAAATAAAAACAAACAAAAAAAAAACAACCTCACTCGATGTGATGGAGACGTCCCTTCCTTGCGGGGTGGGATGAAGGATGCTGTGAGCTGGGGGGGGTACAGGTGACAACACCGCGACAACGGCGGGGACCCCCAGTCTGTCTCCAGCCTGGCCTTAACACCCCAAAGGTTTGCTGAGCGGCGTTAAGTGGGACCAACCAGCCCAAAAACACCACGGGGAAGGCTGGATCCAGCCCTCGGCAGGGTGTTCCCAGCACTGACTGCTCCTTGCCAGGTTTCCTGGGAGAGATCAAAGGGGTGCGGAGCCCTTTGCCTCCCCATTCATCCGCAGGCTGGTGCGGAGCATGTGCTGGGGCCGGCGAGTACACCGGATGTTGTCAGCCAAATTCAATTTTGGTAAGGCAGATCCTGTTGCTCCGGCTCCCTTGGCGCCGAGCGGGCGTTGCGTGCCGGTGGGTGGGTGAAGAAAGCCGCCGGCGGGGCTGTCCCCACCTCCAGCTCGGTTGCGGCCGACGCAGAGCCGGAGGAAGTCGATCTTCGGATTACCAGAAGTCGGTCGCTATCAGTCAGCTTTTACCCTCCAAAACAGTCAAACCCCCACTTCCCAGCTCCGTGGCGTTTGGGCTTCGCGGGTGTTGGGTTTGTTTTGTTTATTTTCGCTCGGGATTATTTTATTTATTTTTTTCTTCTCTAAAATTAATTTTACGTGCTGAACTTTGAAGCTCTGTTCCTGTTCCACCTCATGGAGCACCTGCTGCTCCGTGCACGTAGATCTGCGTGTCCCCTCCAAGGAAGGGGCACGTTTCCCTTTCTGCAGGTTACTTTGGACGTCCCCTGGCCAGATCTGGCTCAGAACAAGGATTCCCTTGGCTTGCCCCATGGCTTTCTTGCTTAAAAATTCCTTGCCCAGGGAGTCTCACCTTTCCTGGGCTCACCCCAGGGTCTCCAAGCTGTGGGGCTGCTACTGGAGGTAACTGGGGGTCCTGGAGCCACGTCCCAGTCTCATGGGGTGACCTGGTGTGGTTGCTACTGGAGGGAACTGGGGGTCCTGGAGCCACATCCTGACATGGTGGGGTGACTTGGTGTGTTGTGTCACCGTTGCGCCTCTGCCTTCAGCAGAAGGTGTTAACTTGGTTTGTTTGTTTTGCTTTTTTTCTTTATATTAATTATTTTTTTTAACTCAGCTGCATCTTTCATCTCCTCCTCGGGTTCGCTCGAAGCAGGAAACGCAGCTCCAAGCGCCTTCAAAGTTTAAGCCTATTTTGAGATGTGGTTTGTATTTAACCTCCTCTCTTCACCCCCCCTCCCCCCGACCATCCGGGAAGCTGCTCTTACACGAAAGCAAACCTCCTTTCTGTGAGGAGACCCTCGGGTGGCCACCGTAACCCCCCCCCGGTACCCCCGAATCGCTATCGCGGCTGCAGGCCGAGCTCGGCCCACCCTTCCCGTAAACGCTCGCCAACTGCTGCCGCCTTTCTTAGAAAACTCGCCGCAGAAAGGCCAAGCAGGTCCGGCGCGGGGCTGGGGTGCTGATAGTCACTTTGTTTCCGCCTGTTGCTGATGATTTTTCGCCTGTTGCTGATGATTTTTGTCCCTGCTCGGGCTCGGGCTGTAGGAAGGGACCGGTGTCGTCGTGTCCCACAGCAAGATCTCACCACCCGGGTGCCATCTTGTCCTGCCAGGGGGCATCCAAGGTGTTGGAAAAGGATGGGAGATCCCCTGAGCACTGCCCTCCCAAGGCAGTAATACCTTCACGAGGCCGAGATCCACCAGATTTGGGGCCCAGAATCTCTGCCACGGGGGAAGGACGATGGTGGATGTGATGGGAAAGCCAACAAGCCCATTGCTCCCCTCCATCCTGCCCATCACCATGGCATGGGGACTGCACACAGGGGCTGGAAGAAAGGAAAAAGGCCTTTTCACCCCTCGTTTCTCCTCATTAGGGGGACATTTGCTGCCCTTCATGCCTATCGCTGTGATCAGAGAGGGTGAAGACAGAGAAATTAATCCAGCACAAAGCATTTTTGAGCCAGCATCGCTCCCCTAGCTGCCTTTCACAACCTTTTATGCTCCCCGGTATCAGCAGGAGAAGCACCCACAGTTCCGAAAACAGGAGGAAAACATTGGACCTCCCACTCTGGGAGCACTGGAGTCCCTGGGGATGACTGAGGACTTGCAAAGGGCCAGCACTCGTCACACCTGTGGCTTCCTGTACACTTCATCCCCAGCTGAGGCACTCGGTGATACAGAAAGGCCCGTCCAGCGGAACCTGGAGCCACAGAAAAGGGGACATTTATATTTTCCACCTCCCTTTCTGGGAATGGGAGATGAGCGACGGCTGGACGAACGCAGATGGGCACCCAGGAGAAAAGCCACCCGGGGAGCACGGGCTGGGCTCGCCGCAGGGACTCAGAGTTGGAGACTCGGAGGTGGCATCTCACCCTGTGTCCCATCCCAAGGAAAACATCCAGCTGCCCCAGAGGCAGCGTCTGAAGCCCTCTGGCCCTTCTTGGCACAGTGAGTCACAGGAGCTATTTTAAACACCTGCCTTGGGAGGAGGTGAATTATCAGCAAAGGAGGTGTCCCAGGGCTCCCCGGTAATGACGCCTTGTGGAAGTCGGTCTCCAAGAGGTTTTGCCCACGGCCTGTGTGGCAACAGCATTATCTCCAGAGGGAGTGTGGGGAAACTGAGGCACGGTGCCGCGACTCCATGGAGATCTTCTGCAGCGCAGCTTGGACTCACCCTCCTTTCCCTGCCCTGTCTCCCCTTGGGCCACCAAGGAGCTCACAAACCCACCATGTCACCCAGGCAGGGGATTTTGTCCTCCAGGAACAGAGACCAAAACCCCTGCACCCCTCTCAGCATGAAACTGGGGTGAAACGTGTCCCTTCCCAGACCTCTTCCAAAAAAACAAAACCCCACTCTGTGAGGGCGAGGGGGGCCCAGGTGCTGGTTTCGGGCACCTGGAGCCCCATTTGAGACCAGAATCTGGTGTTTTGGGGTTTACACCGACCTTCCCGAGAGCGGGAGCTGTGCTCACGCTGCCTCCGTGACACATCGAAACTGCATCACGGCCTGAGAGTCGGTGGGGGTTTTCATGAGGAAAAAACACTTTATTCAACGTAAAAAAAAAAAAAAAAAAAAAAAA